CGTTGTAATGAGCAACTACCTAATGTTGATGCTTAATCAATATTATACAAAATAATTTAAGTATAAAAAAAGGGTGAAGATCATCTGGCAGACGGAATTCCTAGGAACTTTTCTTAGGAATTCCTAGAAAGTTTTCTGCGATTTCCTAAAAAAATTCCTTAGACTTCCTATCATTATGGCCCAAACTTCCTTAGTTTTTAAAAGTAATTCCTAGTAAATCTAGGAATTCCTAATTTTTTTAGAAATTCCTAGGAGATATATTTTTTTTGGAATAATTGCGATTCGCAAAAATATTTTTTGAAAAATTCCTAAGAAAATTAGGAAGTTGTAGAAATTCCTAGAAAATTCCTAGGAACTTATAGTAATTCTTAGAAATTACTATGAATTTTAAGGAATTACTAAAGATCGTAGGAATGTTTAAGAACTTTAAAAGAATTAATTTTCTGCGATTCTTAGGTATTGCTATACATTTTAGAAATTCCTAAGAATCGTAGGAGGTCTTTTATCAAGGTCTGCATGACGAGAAATCCTTCACCATTTATTGGGTGTTAAAAGCCTGGCAGAAAGTAATTCTTTGGAATTCCTGTTACTTTACGTAGGAATTTCAAGGAAAAAGTAGAAAATTCTCCTAGGACTTCCTTTAATTTCCTAGGAATTTCTAGAAAAACGAAATTATTTCCTATAAATTCATAGGAAATTTCCTACTTTTTCCTTAACGACGAAAGTATTTTTGAGAAAATTCCTAGGAATTTACTTAGGAAATCCTAGAAATTCTTAGGTAACTTAAGAAATTCTTAAGTAATTTTTACTTCTACGCAGTAAAAACTGTAACAGCTTCTCGAAAAACTGTAAAAGCAAATATTTCCAATTGCGATAAAAATACTTCTTCTCAAAAATTTGAAATGCTACCATGAATGACCTATACTATTCAGCACTAACTTACAGCTATATTAAATCACAGCTGTTAATTGCATATGTGTTAAAGCAGCTCGGTAGGAATTGTTTAGTACTTCGATACCTAATTATTGCTGTACACAACGATCATGGGTTAACGTATACAACAGTTATTTTACAATTTATTATACTTAGGCTTACGTATAAATAAGAATGTATACGTAGGGATTAAATTATAGCTGCAAATTTGACCTTTAGTTTGAATAACAAACAGCTTTAATTAAAGATAATGCGTACTGCTTAGGTACGCTTATCGGTACTTGTTCATTAAACTTTTGCAAATTTGACTATAATATTTCCTTTTACAAAAAGTCTGGAGAAAAATGCCGATCGGAATTAGTTCGGTAAACAAGTCACTATTTTTGCTTCAATTTTAGCCACCACGTTTTAAGTACAGATAAGCGATTTCCTAAACAATACATACCTCAATTTACAGCTGCATGTCATATAGACCCAAAAACTTACACCTGTGTTATGAAGCTGTAAATTAGGACTAAATAGTACAGAATTCTATTAAATCTTCCCGGGTGGACACAGCCAGTTAAAGTCCATTATTGGACAATCATTTAACAGTCTTTTAACTTGTCGAAATATATACGATATAGAGAACTATACGTTAACTAGACTTTAACTGGACATTCATGCTAATCAATCAAGTGTTCGAAACTCAAAAATAATTTTCCTTACTTTTTTGACCATATACTTCACAAGCGCTTACAGAAATCACTTATATAAGGTCCACCAAAATTTGTATGAAACTTTTAAGTAAATACAATTGTTTCACGCGCAAGTGTTCGAGACTCAAATTTTACTAGAGATTTTTCATAAGTGATAGTGTACTTTAATTAATTAATTACACTAATACAATAATAAAATTTTACAAAAGAAAAAAATATGGAGAAAAAGACACGTGTTATTTATTTTATTTCGATTTTTTTGTAACTGGACATTAACTAGACATATTTGCAATTCCTATGTCCAGTTAAATGGAAAGCGCAAAATATGTCATTAGTCGTCCCTAAGTCTAGTTGCAAAGGCACGTCAATGGATACTTACTCGCCGTGAAAAGGCAAGTCAATGGCAAGCTTTTAACTAGTACTTTGTCCACTCGGGCTTAATTTGTTTGGATAGAAACTTTTTGCGATATAGTCAATTGTATTCTGACAAAAACAAATAACATACTCGCTTTTGCTAGAAGATATTTTTAAAAATGATAAAAAAAATCGTTCAGCCATCGGCGTTTTTGGGTTGAATTTTCAAATATTTCTCAAAATTTTTGGGATTTCTTTAGTACAGCCTGAAATATTCTAGGTAATCCTAAGAAATCCTGATAAACCCTAGAAAATATAAGTAATTCTAGTATTTCCTAGGATTTTGGGGAAATGCTCTCAAGAACTTTCTGTAATATCCTAGGAAATCAAATGATATACTAGGAAATCATAGTAAACATAAACATTTTATTATTCTAACGAGGGTTCTAGGAATGACTAGGATTTTCTAGTATTTCCTAATATTACTAGGAAATTTCTAGGAATTTCTACAACTTCCTAATTTTCTCAGGAATTTTTCAAAAAAATTTTTTGCGAATCGCAATTATTACAAAAAAAATATATCTCCTAGGAATTTCTAAAAAAATTAGGAATTCCTAGATTTACTAGGAATTACTTTTAAAAACTAAGGAAGTTTAGGCCATAATGATAGGAAGTCTAAGGAATTTTTTTAGGAAATCGCAGAAAACTTTCTAGGAATTCCTAAGAAAAGTTCCTAGGAATTCCGTCTGCCAGATGACCTAGAAGCGTATAAAAAAGCAGAAATGCTAATATATTAAAATGAATCAACTGAATAAAAAAAAATAAAATAAATCTTTCAAATTCAAAGCGAGTAGTCCCAGCCAAGCGATGTGTTGCTACACATAGCGACGAGCTGAAGGCACTGCGACTCTGATCGGTAGACTCTATTATATCGTTAAAAAAACCAATTTAATTATAAAGAAACTTGATGAAGATTTTGATGATGAATTGTTTAGCTTAAAATAAGTTTAAAATTTCTTAAACGTATTTTTAAAATTCAAATTTTTATTTTTAAACAAACAAGTTATACGTACCCTGTTTTTTCGTTATAAGCTAGTAGCTTAGAAGAATAAAAAAGTGATTTTTTTGGCTCACTAGTAGCTTAGTAACGAGTAGTAGCTTAGTAAAGAAATAGAACTTCAATAAAAATTTTGAATTTTTTAACTTAATTAAAGAAATTTTGCTATCTTCTCGATTTTATTTCATTGACAATGTCATAAGGCATTGAAACTGATACTCAGAAAGTTGAAAAAGATTAATTATACTTTATTTTTGGTAGTAGCTTAGTAAAGATTACAAAAAAATTTCAAGTTCAAAAAACTTTACTAAGCTAGTAGCTTAGTAACAAGTAGTACCCTGTTTTTACGTTATAAGCCACTACCATTTACTAAGCCAGTGGCTTATTAAAAGATTTTGACCCTTTAAACTTTTATGTCTCCTTTAATAAGCCACTACCCTTTAATAAGCCAGTGGCTTAATAACGGATGACTGTAATACACAATAAACAAATAAAAAAATTTCTGATTCAATCATTCAAAAATGTCTCAAAAGAAACGAAAGACATATTCAGTTAGTTTTAAGCTATCAGCAGTTGAATTTGCAGAAACGAACTCAAATATAAAGGCTGCAGAACACTTTGAAGTCAACATTAGTCAAATTCTTCGCTGGAAATCGACAAAAGATTCAATGCTATTGGTTCAGAACAAGAACAAAAAATGTGTTTTCAAATTTAGACCTGCCAAATGGCCAGCATTAGAAGCACACTTGAAGTCGTGGCTAGTGGAAAAACGAAAGGAAGGCCATTGTGTATCAGCTAGAGCAATATTGAGAGAGGCACGCTTACATGCGCTAAGAATGGAAATCCCTGATTTTAAGGGTTCAGCTAGCTGGATTTGTCGATTCATGAAGCGCAACAAGTTAACGAAACGTGCAGTTACTTCAGTCGGCCAACATTTACCTGATGACTGGGAGAATAAAATGTCAGACTTCATTGAATATGTCAATAACCATAAGGATGGTTACGATTTGGATCACATAGCTAACATGGATGAAGTTCCCGTTTGTTTTGATTTACCATCAAAGTTCACAATTGATCAAATAGGATCATCAGATATCCGCGTCACTACAACAGGAGCTGAAAAAGCTCGTTTTACAGTCGTTCTTTGTGTTACAGCAAGCTGCAAGAAACTTCCAGCATATGTAATTTTCAAGCGCAAAACGTTACCAAAAGGCAAATTTCCACAAAATATTATTGTATCAGCAAATGAAACTAGCTCAATGACAGCAGCAGAAACGGTTTTATGGCAGAACAAAGTATGGATAAAACGACCCAACTCATTATTTGATCGCCGCTCGTTATTAATGCTTGATTCCGCACCTGGTCACAAAACAGCTGAAGTTAAGGCCAAATTTCGTGAAAATGGAACTACTCTAGCTATGATTCCAGGTGGTTTGACAAAAAAACTGCAAGTACTTGACATAAGTGTTAACAAGTCATTCAAAAGTAGACTACGCAACAAATGGGAACAATGGATGATTAATGGCTTTAAAGAATATACGAAATCAGGTCGTATTAAGCGTGCATCGTATGAAGAAATTTGTAAGTGGATTTCCCAATCATGGGAAGAAGTTCCTGATTCTGCCATAAAAAATGGATTTGTTAAAACTACAATTAATTTTTATTGCAATGAAAATAATGTCATAGAAAATGAAGAGGACTGGGAAGTTGAATATTTGCTCGACGATGAAGATGATATCCAAGAAAAATTAATGGATATTTTTTTGGACGAGGAAAATTTTGGAAGTGATTTAGAAGAAGATTATGAATAAATAAATTCCCTTTAACAAGCCACTACTCGTTATTAAGCCACTACTCGTTATTAAGCCTTTTTTTGAAAATTTTTATACTTTTTTTCTCGAATAAGCCACTGGCTTATAACGTAAAAACAGGGTAGCTTATAACGAAAAAACAGGGTAGTTGTTAGTCATAATAAGATTTGTAAACAAAAATCTTTCATTTATAAGTGTAATTATTGTTTAAATTGGTTAATTAAATACTTTTAAAATATTTGTAAGCATATCCTAAGCTCAATTATGGAAATCAAGTGTAGATTCGGCGAGTTACCATTTAAACATGGAGAAAAGTTATATTGTTGCTCTATTGAAAGCCAATTAATTCGTCAAAATTCTGAATTAAACTTCATCGGAGATCACGAACCTAGAAAAACAAATGATGACGTTCATGGAATAGAATTTTCCGAATGTACAGTAGCTAAAGTTCCTGCAGGCCTCACTATGAGCTTTCCAAACTTGAAAATGTTGGCAATTAAAAACTCAAGACTAGAAAAAATCTGCAAAGATGATTTAATTGAGTACAAAAATTTGGAAAAACTCATTTGCTTCCAAAATAAAATTGAATACCTGCCTGGAGATTTGTTTGAGGGCTTTGAGCATTTAGAATGGATTGAATTTTGGGAGAATAAGTTGGGAATCATTGAGCCAAATATTTTCGATGAACTTGATAACTTAAAATATTTAGACATTGAAGGAAATCCAGATTTTGACAAGTGGTATTCATGCTACCCATCTTACAACAGAAGCACATCTTTAGAAGAGATTAAGGATCAAATTTGCACACGATTCCTATCAAATGATCAAAAAACAATAAAAACCTTTCTTAAAAAAGTCAAAGATCCAATTGACATGCTTAAGATTTTCAGTGAAAAGTCTCATAATTTTGCTATGAAATCTACAGTCCTTAAAGTTACTTTTGACATTTTGGAAGAAACTGTGGAATCCTCAAAGGCTGAAAAATTAGAAATGCAGATTCAGTTTCAGCAGCAAATTGAAGAAATGAATCGAAAACTTAAAACTGGACTCATGGGCAATATCAAAAATTTCATTAATGACGAAACCACAAAAGACTTTAAAGTTCAAGTTGATGAGAAGGAATTTAATGTCCACAAGTTTCTGTTAGCAGCAAGAAGTCCAGTCTTAGCAGAAACTTTTAAAAATAATCCAGAAGTTGAAAACCTAAACTTAATCGACATTTCTGTGGACATTTTTGAGCAGATCCTCAACTTTATTTACACTGATGAACTTCCAGATGAGAATACAAACTTTCTGCATCTCTTTGCATCTGCTGGAAAGCTTAAAATTGAGGAGCTTAAAAATTTTGCAGCCACAATGCTTTTAGAACAAATCACTTCTGAAAACTCTTTCGACATCTTCAAACTAAGCAACAAATACAACCACAATGAACTAAGAATAAAAGCGTTTAACAAAATCAGAAGCAAGTATCCGAAAATAAAGTTCAACGTCAATTGGGAAGACGATCCCGAAAAGGTCGAAGTGATTGTTGAGAAATTCAGGAAGAAGGAAGAAGCGATAAAGAAGCTTGAAGATGAAATTCAGATGATTGAGGAAGACTTTGAAAATGAGCTGACATCGTTTAATTAGAGGCATTACAAAGGAAGGCTGAAGAACAAGACGTATGCATTTGAGATCAGGAACTGATGGAATTTAAGCACTTCTTATTATTCATGTAAATTTAAACTAAACTAATGCATTACCAAATCCTAAAATAAATTACAAATTTTTAATACGTCAAAATGTCTTATCATTACTTCCAGCTGCAACAATCAATTAAAAAAATTTTACTTCATACCAATCTAATGAAATTAGACGAAACCCCATCCAACAATCTTCATTCTGACGTCTGCGAAATTTAAAATTTCGCTTAAAGCTTTTAAGAATTATGAAGGAAGCGAGAAATAGGACAATTTTGTAATTTTCCGTCAACTTTTTTTTTGTTACTCTGATTAAAACGAGGCTGCTGTAGATGAGGGGAGAAATGCCTCAAGAGTTGTAAAAACTTTGTCCATACCGTAAATAGAAACATTTTTTTTACGAATATACAAAAAAAATTAAATTAAAAAGAGCAAAGCTAGCAACATGATGGGAAGAAAATTGTGAACGAGGAAAAAATGTCAAAACAATTTAGGTGCAAAAAATAATTTTTTTTCCAAAGCTACGAAACAAAAGAGGAAAAACTTTTTCATGTCTCTCAAATTCGTGGGCACTTCCATGTGCATATAAACGCCAAGTGCCAAAATATAAAAAAAGGAAAGAATTTTTCTGGATTGTTAGAAAAGATAAAGTTTTTATTTTCATGCCATGCCACCAAATACAATATATCTGGAACTGCTACTGTTATTTAGCTTATTTTTTTCTGGTGATTTATTATTATGCACTTGATACACCAAACACGGAGCTTTATCAACCATACGAGAGAGGTTAAATGAAAAATTATGGGAGGAATTATGATTTTTTTCACACATTCTATAGCTTCACTTTTTTTATTGTTGCTGCACTGCCACAACTTTTATTGTTGTCTGTATGAAAGTTTGAAGAGGAAAAATGATTTTTTTTTTTTGATGAGGATTTTGCTATTAGCTTTGCATTATCATGAGAATGAAGCTGTTTTTGAGCAATTAAGTTCGGTTTGAGTTGATTTTGGATTAATATTTTTTATATATAGTAAAGCTTTTTAAACTAATGAAGAGTAATCATTAGTAGTCATAGAAACTTAACGTTTCAAGTTTTAAAATTGAAAATCAAGGTCATAGCTTAATATGAAATCTTAATCTCTCTTGATCTTAATTTCTGAAGTCTTGTTTAATTCTTTGGCTCAGGCCCAGAAATGAGTTGATTTTATCGATGAGAGAGGTCCTGATTAATAAAACTCCTCATTTCTATCAACTCTTCAAATGACACTAGTTTGCAGGCGCGTAACCAGAGGGGGGGGATATGGGGTACAAACAGGGGCGTAGCCAGGAGGGGGCCCGGGCCCCCCCTACGAAAATCTGATAATTGTTTTATTAAGTATTTATAGAGAAGAACCAGTTAATGTAGAGGAAGTGATGAAAGAAATGTCAAAATCAGCACGAAAAATTAAATTTAATGTATGAATAATGAATTAAATACTTAAACTTATGAACAATGAATATAGATTTAAGGATACAAAATAACGGTTTTTTTTAATTTTTGTAAATGGGCCCCCCCTTAAAAATTTTCTGGCTACGCCCCTGGGTACAAATCTTTGACGTTAACAGACATTTCTTCATTTTCCTAGGAATTTTATGAAAAAATCATAAAAATCCCCCCGTTCACTCTGATTTTACTATGTAATTTTTTTGACAACACCCCCCCCCCCCCCCTTTTCAAATTCATGGTCCATTAAGCTGATATCTTAAGACTAGTAAAAGTAAACAGGTTTTGATGTGCTTTTCATGTTGCAAAGATCAAGAAACTTATGATAAGAGATTGTTGACACAGCTAGTATTGGACAATGCCAGTAAAATCTATAAAATCTTTGCATACAAACCAGAGCAAAACCTAAGAAATATTTTTAATGAATTCAGAAAACTCCAGTAATCTTTATAAGGCTTTGAACTTTTGGTTCCACAACATTAATGCAACTTTACTTCGACAAACCAAAGCTATCTCAACCAACCAAATTCATCATCATCAAACTAGTAAAAAGCTATTAACTTCAATGCTCATTAAGCTACAAATTTATATTCGCCTCAGTCGACTGAAAATTTCTTCATCATCATCGTAAATATTTATTTTTTGGAAGCTTTAAAATCAAAATGCACCATCATTATTGCTAGTGTTTGTAGATGAAAAGAGAATAATTAACGTCATTTGCAATTACTGTCAAAAATTTCATTTTACAAGCAGAGCAAAATTCATTTTTCAAAACAAACTCTTTTTTTCGGAAAAGAGCTTCAAAAACAGATTATTGTGCTGAAATCATGAGAGCAATCATTATTCTATTGTCTTTAGCATCCATCCCAGTTCTCATATTGTGCATTGCGATAACAATTTTCCATCAATTTTACTGCATAGATGAGACGAGAATTTTTGAAAGCACAATTGAGGACGACGACAATGATAATGCAGAATTTTATTTCGATTTTCTTGTTAAATTTTGTATCGTTGCTTTGTTTCATTGGAATTATCAAGTGATGTAAGTACTCGTGAATGTATTGTGGATAAAAATATTGAGTTTTGTATTCACACTGTGAGGTTTTTGATTTTTTGATGGGATTCATGCATTGATCTCGAGTGGATAACAACAGCGAATCTTATTATTTTGACGTTCGACAACCTTAACAGGTTTCAGTATGAGTTTAACTATCTGTAGGTTTACTAAGAAAATCTATAAGCTCCGTTTTTGTTAAAATCTTTTTAAAAACTGCTCCAAAAATGCTCTTAATCCAAGGATCGTTAGTTTAAAGTCGCAGGACTGAGGTACTGATAGTCTAAAGCCGGCTCCATACAAAATTGAAGCCAGATTCGTCTATATCCATCCACTGCTCTAAATACAAACCAGAACTCAACTTAAATGCTGCACTTAGCATCTATAAAGTTTCAAAATTCCAAAAAATCCACAATTAAACATAGTCGTCGATCGCAATGTGAATAAACTTACATCCAACATCGATTCCCATCCCTCTAATCATAATTCTCCACATCCACAGTCAAAACTATTCGAATCTCATAGCAAAGCTACTTCAAATTCGTCGTGATTTGATCAAAATTGAAAATGCAGCAACAAAAGTTCAATCTCAGCTGAAATCATACAATAGTGATGATGGAAACATTACATTGGAAACAGCCAAAAGCGAAAAAGTCATGAGTGTTGTCGAGATAAAGAGAATAATGAAGAAACTAACAATGAGAAAATCTAATATCGCCAAGAACAAAAGAAATTTATTGATACGGAAAATTCATGTTGGGATTGAGAGAAGAAGCATTTATATTACAAATCATCATCAGTTCCATAATATTCGTCGATATCACATAAAAGAGGACCATGAAATGATCAAAGATGATGCAAACAATAAAGACGTAAAAGTTATGACAAACTCAATTAATCAAGATGAGGAAAATGTGAAAGGAATGATAAAACTCATTTCGACAAAACGACGGGTTTCAAACTTCTTCATTGCTATGGGAATACAATTATTAAATGAGGTTTACAATGCGGGATGTGCTATTGTTTATGGATGTGAGAATATTTCTCAATAAAAGTTGTACTTTTTGTTTTAAATTTAATTATTAGAAAATCTTGATTTACTTTTGAAAATTTGACTTGCTTTTGATTTTTTTAAGGTAATTTTTGAAATAAAATATTTAAAAATTGTGTTTTTTAAATAGATTTCAGAATTGTTGAAATAAAATAACTTAAAAGAATTTTAATCTTCAGATTTAAATAAAATCAAGTAATCCCCATGCTACATATTCCTTGTAAAATAAATCAATAGGTTTTATACATTTTTCTTTAAAACTTTCGCCAGTGCTAAAAAGCTTTCTTTTGAATTTTTGATTACCGTTACAGGGAATAACTCTCTTAAATTGTTTTTGAGAAAAAGCTTGTCCAACATCGAGTGACAATAAGTTTCAAAATGATTTGATGCTACTTTGGTCCTTAATTTATTTGTTCAAATAAGAACTTAACGCAAATCTACATCGTAACCTCATCATTTTGTACCTGACTGTCAATCTCGACTCTAGCTCTTATTGCTTAGTGACTCAATTCATGATTTTGTTTTTTTTTTTCGATTGAATTTTTTCAAGTTTCCGTGACTTCCTGCATAAGTCCGGGTCTAATTACTCTTAAATTCTCTCAAAATTACTTACTCTTTAATTGAGGCGCAGGAGACTCCATTGCCGTGCTTAGAGATCGTCTGAAGGTTGCTCTATCTTTTAAAACCTTCTGCCAGTTCGGGAATAATGACTCTAGTCTTTTATATACCATTATATTATCCAATCCAGGAATTCTTCGGTCTGTCTCGTGATCTTTTGCCATCTTCAAAATTTTGAAGAAAACACAACTTCGGTCACCAAAACGAAAGCAATTTCAATAAAAATCTCTTCCAAATAATTCCGTGCCAACAGATTTTTTTTCTTCCAAAAAAACGGTCAAAAAAAAAGACAAAAAGTGCACAAATACATATTCTTGATTTTTAAACAAAATTAATGATTTATGTCTAGGATGACCATCTGCTTGGTTTTCAGAGGACAGTCCTCTATTTTTTTTTTATTTTTCAAAAATAAAATGGTTTTGTTTTGTTCTAATTCGTCCAGAAAACGAATAAAATTGGTAAACACGTGGGATTTCCTCTGTTTTACTTTCTGATCCACTTTTTTCAAAAAATATCTGGTCAACCTTTTTAAAGCTTGTTTGTTTTATTATTTACGCAAAAAACAACGTTTTAGAACCTAATTCCCCTCCCCCTCCCCTTGTTGCAAATTTTGTATAAAAAACGGAGCTAAGCTTGAGCTTTACAAATTCCTAGACCCCCTTTCCTTTCTCCCAATAAAAGCGAACGTAACAACAAAGTTTTATTTCTTTTGTTGCAGAATATTCAGGAATTTGCAGAATGAGATCTTAAAACGGTTGAACCAAATAATTGTACGAATGCACAAAGAACGCCGTCGCTTGAATAAAAATGAAATTAAAGAATTCGATGAAGATTTCAATTTGAACAAAAATTCTCATCTTACAGATGGCGTTCAATAGAATCAAAATGTCTCCTTCCGTTAACATTGTAAGGATAATAAAGTATCAAGGAAATTACTTTTTTAAGTTATTCTGAGCTTCAATTTTTTAAAAATTCCAAAATTTGATTTTACTTCACTGGTCGTACAGATCAATTGTGATTTATAATGTTCCTTAGTCGTCCCCTAAAACTAGTTCTATCGCTGGTTGCCGTCTGCCAATTGCCGATTCCAAATGCAACACTGTTTCTATCAACAGCCTCTTTCCATGAGTTCTTTGGCCTTCCACGTGATCTCTTTCCATTTACAAAATCGGATTTTTTAGATGAAGAAATTTTGATCTTTAATCCTACAAAAAGAAAAAAATATTCTTGATAAAAAATATAAATCTGAAATAAGGTTTGAGTTTAGGAAGCCTTAAGTTTGAGTTGTACAGATGGAAATCATCAATACTATTCCTTGGTGTTTGTTTTTACATTTCTTGCAGTTCAATCGCATATTGAAATATTCAAAGACATTTCTCCTTCCAAAAAGTTCTTGTTGTCTTAAAGCTCAGCAAAAAGTTCATCAAATGACTTTTCAAAAAAGTTTCAAGAAGCTCTCTAAGCTCTTCTTAACGTCTACAAAATTTTCAAACCTTTGTCAAAAAGTTTCATCCCTTCTACATCAAATGTCTTTCCAACAAGCCATGCTTTCAGCCCCACTTTCAAAAATCATCCTCATTGGAAAAATCACAAAAAACCTTCCAACAAAAAGCACCCAAAAAAGCTTTTTACAAGAAGTGAAAGATTTTCTGTTTTTCCTCATCGTTTCCATGTGATTTAGTTCCGTGTCTGATGCCGGTAAATACAGTCAAATAGAAAAGTAGCTAAAGAAAAAAATAAAACAAGTTAGAAAGAATAAAGGAAGGAGTTGAGAACATAAATCTCTTTGTGCCATATATTTTCTTTGTTTGGATGTTGTAGAAAGTAAACTTAAAAGAAAAAAAAAAATTGAAAACTTCAAGGAAAATAATGAATTCAAGTGTGGCAAGTGAAATAAAATTTATAGTCGCATAGAATACTTAATTAAGCATATATTTAAATTAGTGCGGTCGCATAAGGAATAAGACTAATATTAGTGTAATAAATACCACAAATGATGTCGCATAAATGAACATGGCAATCATTAAGTCGTGCTGTTTTTGGAAATCATTAAGAAAAGGCTGTTTCGCTAGTGCAATATATACTCTTGTGAGTCTTTTTTTTTTAAATGTTGTGTAAACATTGTCGCCATATGATACATGCATTGTGAATATTATTAAGTAACATAAAAAAAGGAAATTATTTGAGCTTAAGCAAATATTTTAAAACAAACAGAGGAGCTTCATTTACGTACATAATATCCAATATCATATCACGTTAGAGAGCATTTACCTCCTATTTATTCTTACTCTCTCATACTCATATATGATGTAGACAATTTTACGAGTCTGTTGTTGCGATGCAGCTTTTTTAAAAATTGTATTAAATATGATTAAATTATTCGAATCATTTTTTATTAAATTGTCAACGTTTATTGCTGGATTAAGTTTAGAATCGCTTAAATCTTTTACATTCTGGTTTTATGGGTTCAGAAAGAGGGGGGCGATTGGGTTTTATGGGTTCTTTCTGGTCAGTAGAAGAGCTGAGTGAAGGAAAACAAATCTTCAATTTTGATAGAATATTCTCTTTGATTTCGGGAAAAATCTAAAATCCACGATTAAACATTTAAATGCAATTTATTTTGTCAAAAATTAATTGATTTTCATCTTGAGGATTTCTTAAAAAATTCGCCAAAAATTTTAAATTTTCAGGCAAAGTTCATAAATCTTCTGAATCTGAATTTAATCCTGTCAATAAAGTTCTAAAATGTTTCAATAATCTATCACCAAATAGTTTGCTCAATTAAGTTTTTTTATGTCATGATTCAATTTACTTCCAATTATACATTTTCTCAGTATCGAGATAAATGTCGATGATGTTATTAGGCTTCAATAGGTAATTGGTGATGACTTTAAGAAATTGTGTTGATTTTGGTAACTCATGAATTGATAACCACTTTAATTTGTCATAAATGCTTCTTGTTTAGGGGCCATAAATATGCTGTACATCAGTTTTAGACGATTTTTGGTCAAAAAGCAGAACATATCCTGATTTCAACTCTGAAAAAGCGGGACAGACCAAATTTTCAAATGGTTTCCAAGAAAAATAGGTTGTCTCTTATTAAGGATTTTAGTCGATACTTTGTTCAAAAAAGCGGGACTGTCCCGTTTAAAAGTGCACAACCTAGTTATGAAATGCGAATAGAATGTGTTGTGATTAAATCTTTAATTTGTTCGAATTTTTTTGAAAATAATGTTTCAAATTTTATTCAATGCCAAAAACATTTAATCTCCTCCACTTTTAAAATTCTGTCTACAACTCTGGAGACCACTCTTCTTTCTAAAAGCAAAATTAAGTGATTAAAAGCTTTTCGTGATTCAGACGAGTTTGAATTATTAATAATTTTCAATGAGATTCTTTAGATTCTTTAAAGGATTTTGAACAGTGTCGTAGCAAGGGTGGTGTGGAGCCTGTGCCTTGATCCCTCGCGCTACGATAAAATACTTTGAATGCCAAAAACCCTCACACCTTTAATGAATTTGATATTTAAACGAAACATTAGCAGCTTTAAATATGTTTAAAAAATTTTAAAAAATGCCAATCAAGATGAAAATTCTAATTATGGATGTAAATTTATAGTACAACCTTAAAGTTTATATGAATAAATGAACTTTAAATAAAAAGTTTCTTGAGTTTTTCTGTGACTGTGTTCAATAGTTTAATGCTATGGTGACCAAAGTTTGATATTACCAGACATTTTCTAGAATAACGAAGGACTTTCCTTATATCGGGGCGATTCTCCAGATAAAAGTTTTCAAAAAACCACCACTAAAATGAATTTTTTATAATTTTTTTCCATTAGAGAGCCTCTAAAGACAAATTAATATTGTACAACTTTTTAAACTCTACGAATCTGTATAATTAAATGCTTTCAATATACTCTAACTAAGGAAATATTTCGATTCTTCGGACGATTTCTCGAAGACAAAATATGGAATTTGGATTTTTATAATCAAAAATTAAGTATTAAAAACTATTCTTTGACATATGATATAAATACCAATCGATAGAAAACGAACTACTTTATCATATATGACAACAATTTTATTAAGCTTAATACAAATTTCACAAGAAAATTCAATTCTTTTGATGAAAATTTTGTCTTCGAGTAATTTTTAAAGCGCTTGAAACTAATTTGTGAGATTCAAATTTTTCAAATACGTTATAAATTTAAATGGAATATTTTTAAAAGAAACGATGATGATTGAGTGCAATATTAATTATTAATTACCTTTTGTTTAATTAAAACATATAAAAAAAATGATTTTTATAAATTAAAACAAAATTTTATTTTTGTAAACAAGTCTTTGTTTACATTTTTCCCAACGTATTTCAAAAATTTAAAAATTTCAAGTAGCAGTGGAATTACAGTTCTGTTTTTAAAAATTCAACCTATCTGGAGAATCGCCCATCGACTAATTTTATTCGCATTCTTGGCGAATGAAAACAGAATGAATTTATTTTATTTTTCAAAAATTATTAATATGGTGGACTGTCCCCTGAAAAACAAAGCCGATGGTCAGCCTCCCAAAGTGTGTCTTCAGATTTTCAACATTAAGTGATTTTTTAAAGTGTTTATAAAGTTTGAGAATCAATCATTTGAAGTTATTCATTTATTAAGTAAGAGAACATGGAACCTTGCCTAGTGTTTTGATTCAGAAAGTGCCCAAAACTCGACAGACCTAAATCCGTCTCTGATCATCAATTTAAACATTTCTCAAACACTGTCTTAGTCAAAGGATTTCCGATTAACTCTGTAGATCTCCCTTTAACTGTTGTATGTGTATACAAATTTAAAACAAGTCAGGTTTGATGCGAATCGAACCCGCGACCTCAAAAGAGGCGATCTCTGACCACTCGACTACCGAAGTACTTATCTCACTTCGGCTATCCGTCATCCACATACAACCAGTTTCACTGTGAGCCCTATGCACAGGCCTATCTACTACAGATATGCTTTTCGAGCAATATCTAAAGCTCTTATCATATAATTAAAATTATTAGTTCATAAATTACAACCAACAACAAAACAAGCACAATCGACAAGAAACCAAAAAAAAATAAATCATTTCTAAATCCAGTAAGATAAAAACTGTTGTAATTAATAATTCATTATGAGAATAAAACAAAGAAACTTTAATGGCGAAATAATTCCTTCAATGATGTCATCATTTTCCCTTTATTGCTTTTTTATAGACACAAGATAGTTACAAAGGAATTAATGAGAAACTCCGACACGAGAATTGTTGTTTGTAGGAAATTTTCAGACAATTTTTATCTCTTCCTTTTTTCGCAAGATAAACTTCGGTCACGTTTACTCTGTATTGGATAAATAATTGCCTTTACTTGTTACAAGATTCCAACATTAAATCACATGTAGGCGTAAGATTTCATTTTTCAATTATTGAATCTTTTTCTAGCCTTTATTGATCGACAATTTAGATTTTTTCGTTTGTTGACTTTTTGAGAAAAATAAACACAAAAAAATATAAAGTCAAGTTATGAAAAGGTTCTATTGTTGTGAATATTTTTAAGCTAAGAATTTATTTCCAAGAACGCAATTTTCGACCCAAAAAAAAGTAAACTAAAGTATGTTGGTAGGTAACTGTTATTTGATACATTGACCGGAAATAATTGCTTAAATGATGATGTCCTGTCGACATTTCATGAGAATATTTCAAATTGCTTATCGTAATTCCATGAAGCACTTGATGAAATTATCTGTTATGATTTCAATATTAAACCATTAATTTCGTCGAAATTTTCTTTAATTCCAAGAAATTCTACTAGACAATTGGCAATGTCCAGAGCTACATTGAGAAACTGGCTAGTATGAATTGATTGAAAGATGGGCTTTTGATGGGAATCGAACCAACATCCTCATAAAACTGAGGTTCATATATTTTAAGTGTGCTGTCCAGGACGTAGCCAGGAATTTGAAGGGGGGGGGGGAGACAGAAAAAAATTTTGTATGGAAAATTTAAGGGGGGAGGTGTTATTTTTGTGATTTTTTAATAAAAACCCTAGCAAATTAAAGAAATGAAATTTCTGTTAATGTTGGGGGATTTGTCCCCCAAATCCCCCCCCCTGGTTACGTGCCTAGTGTTGTCTAATTACTCGGTCGTAGAGGCTTTCCTCTCTAAATGGCAGATTCAATAACATAAAGCTTAATACAGGTCAATAAATGTGTAGCCAATAGGGTTTTGAAATCACCCTTCACTACTCAAAAGGAAAAAAGTTCTTTAATTTTTCAGAAAAAAATCTAAAATTTGTCAAAAATCCCTCAAAATAATTGTAACCGACCCCCCTTGAAATTTCTGACTACACTCCTTGCTCATTAAATCCTTTAGATACTGCTCTGTTCTGTTAAATTTGATACACAAAATAGAGCTAAAATAGAATTTCATGAATTTTACATTCAGTTAAAAATAAAATAATTTAATCATAGAAATGAAAATTGAATTAGATTTTAAAAATTGCTTTAATATGCAGCAGTAAAGCCGTTGGTTATTGCTTATAAAAAACATGATCATTTAAAAATATTTTTCATCAAAATTGTTATTTGAAATTAATGCAAACTTACTAGAAACTGAAATCATATCAATGAAACATCCAAATTTGGATTTTCACACATAATTAATCATAAATACATGAATGCAGTCGGAATTTTCACAATCCTATCTCTCAAACGGAATGCACACATCAACCACAGCTGCAAAATTATATTTTTAAACGGTCGTCGTGCATATCTTGTCCTTGATGTTCAGATATTTTTAGAGCATTGATGAAATTTGAGCAAAAAATAATTAATTCTTTTGTTAATTTACACAATTTGACCTTTAAATGAGCAATCAACCGCAATTAAAAAAGATAATTTACACAATTTATGGAAATAATAAATTATCAATCAGAACAGATTACAATTAAATGCTTAATGAGGACTCGAAAGTCTCATTTGTAATGCTTCCTATTTTAACAAGAAAATTCACGTTAATTCCAATGTTGAAACGTTGCGCTGTATATTTTTTAGAGCATCTGCTGCACAAAGAGATTGATTGTCATTAAAGTTTTGTGTATCTTGCGTTTCTAGGGAGCATGGCGTAAGATTTAAAGTCATGTCAAATGATGGTGGATTTAAAGAGTGAATAATGTGCTGGATTTTAAGCAATTTAAATTTCACTGACAGCACATCAATAGTGAATTTAAAGGAACAGATTGTGAAGGTCTTAGATTAACCAGGAAATTTGGATCCGTAGAAAATACTAAAGCTCAAATACACTACTCTAGCTAAGTTTTGTTCCTATTTCAGTTCAATCCCATAATGAATTAAACCCAATTTTTCCAGATTATTGGTCATAAAACTTTCTTGATTAGCCAAAAAGCAACAATCTGTACAACAATCAAGAGTTTCTAATTTTATTATTTGACAACAGTTCGAGAAAATATTTGTTTTTGTGTCACGAGAGATCAGTAATTGATTCTAATGAATTGAGACTGGAGATAAAATAATCAAATTCAGACAAATCAAAAACAATTTCATTACATGATGTAAAGCCATAGCAATTACTTAACAAAAGTACCAAAATAAAAACAATTTATAGCTTAAAGGAATAAGTTTCGAGATAAACTCATGTTGTGTTACATTAAATTGCTAGATTTTTATTTACGAAGCTACATGACGACTAATGAGGCAAGCCTAAAACCTTTTTTAAAATAAAGTAATCAAATTTCATTAGGAACAAATTCCTCGATTATATAACAGAAACTTTAAGGAAGTATTTTTATTTCGTATTTTCTTTGAAACCGATCAGAAGTGCGCATTTTATTACGTTGACAAAGTAAATTATTTTTCGAAGAACTTTCGTTTATATAAAGTTTTCCTGGAATCTAGAGTGGAGAAATATAAAAATTAATTGAATAATTTCAATATTCATAATTTTTCGCGTATTTTTTGGTTATCTACAATTAACTTGCACTCAACCCTATTCCAAATCTAGCACTCATCCTAAACCTAATCCCATCTTAAAATTAGCACTATCCCAATAACTTACCTTTTTTAAACCTAACCTCTTTCCCAAATCTAACCCTATCCCAAAATTAATTCTATCCAAAACTACATCCTATCCCAAACCTAACCCTATCCCAAACTTATCCTATCCATAACCTGATTCTTTCTTAAACCTAATCCTATCCCTAACCTATTCTTATCCATTCTTGTTTCTATCCCAAACCTAACCCTATCCCAAACTTAACCCTATCCTAAACCTAATCCTATCCCAAATCTAACCTTATCCTAAACTTAAACCTATTGCTGAGGCAACAAATAATTTTTTTTAAAAACAGCTTAACAAATAACTTCTTTTTTCTGACGTAAATGCATGAAAATACGATCCTCAAAAAATTTTTTTGTGCCTCAATAATTAAAAAATTCATAAATTTTTATAAAAGTTTCTCAATAAACAACAATCATAAGGCTAATGAACATACTCATGTGGATTATATTTAAACATTTATTTCAGATATACTTTTTGGGAGCATGTTTCACATTTTCATTATATCTCTACGATGAGCGCGATTATCTAACAGGAAAAGTCGACAAACCAATAAGCATAAGCTTCTTAGGAGCGCCTTCGTGTGAGTTTTTAGAACGAAAACTTTTTGTGATGTGCCAAATTTAATTAATTATTTCATTTTCTTTATCTTGCTAGTTAACTTATGGTTCAGTATGATATTCTTAGGATGCTCCATCCTCGGAGTCATCTCATCTATTTTACTCATCATTGGATTACGTAAAGATCAACGTGAATTTTTAGCACCATTTATCATCATCATGTCACTGGATTTATTCATAGAATTCTTACATTTTGTCATTCTTATGATATTTGGTGACTCAAAGTTTGATCCACTGACGGGAACATTGTTTACTGTAGATTTCTTTGTGTCATGTCTTAATGTAAGTTGAAACTATTTGCTTGAAAAACACACAAATATTTTTTTGCATTTGACATGTTTGACTTTATCTTTACAGATGTATTGTCTCGTGTGTGTCATTTCACAATATCAAGAGTACAAAGAATATCGATGTGCAAATCACTTTATCATTGTAAGTTGTTCACACATAGTTTTATCTGTAGATTATGGGCGGGTAAATTGAGTTGAATTGAATGCAGAAATTTGCTGTTGTTTGTACGAGATTAATGCTTGAATATACATAAAATAATATTCTGAGATTAAAAACTGGATTAATTTAACAAGCGCTGTAAAGCACGTGTTTCAAGCTATTTGTATTTTGCCACGATAATTGGAATTGCTCATACAATGTAGCCATGATAATTTACATTTTAATTGTAAAGGGCTTTTCTCGAGAACTTGAATCTGGGATGCAGAAAGGGGAGGACGAGGGGGGTTCGCTACAAAATCTATCCCCTTGCTACGTTTCTTCTGAGTGTCAAAGACAGACCTGACTTAAAACAAAATCGAGAAATCTCATAAACCGTGTACAGTTTTAATCATGGCTTACTACCAAGGTGTGCCAGAAGTCAAAAAAAGGTTGTCAACCACTGATCCAGATCATTTCAGATCATTAAGATGATAAGGTATAAAAGGGTCCAGACTTAGTTCCTCAAATTTTTTTTGAATGCGGAACAATGGATGAGATGTCGATCATCTGTTCATGTTTCCACGCCACGCTGGCAACTCCCAACTTTTTCGCGGAACAGTAAAGCTCCGAAGAGCATAGTTTGAGAAGCACTGATTTATTGAGCCAGACACAGGCACGTAGCTAGGAGGATCTTGTACCCCCTCCCCCCTCCCCCCCCTTAAACGTATTGAACCGCAGAGAGAGTACGGCCTAAAACGCTTAAGAGGGGGACAATACCCTTATGGCTACACACCTGGCCAGACATCTTCTGAGTCATACATCTACTAAATCAGACATCCACTGAGTCAGTAATCGAAAATACTTAATTAAGCACAAAAATCCATAAATAGATCTGATAGAAATCTCTTCAAAAAAAACGAAGAATAGAAAAAGAGCAAAAAAACCCATCGAAAGCAATCAATAACGTTTTCTATTATAATTCATTTCCTACTTCCTCCACATGTTTTTAATTTTTTTCTTCCTTTTCCTCCTTTATTTCTTTTTTTCATCTATTGTGTGCCATAAAAACCACGCTACATTGAATAAATGAATCGGATAATATGGTCGATGTGATAAAAAAAAACTTATATAGAACAATAGAACGCCTCATTGTACAACGCCTGAGAAATCATGCATAGTCCTACATCAATCAAAAACAAGTCCGATGAATAATGGACATACGAACATAACAATCGTTCAGGAGTCTCATTTGAATGGAAGTGCAAGTAAGTGTGCTGTTCATTAAATATTGTAACCAATTACATCAAGCATCAATCAATCACTAAATTTGAGTCTGTGTGTGCGGGGATTGGAACTGAATATAATTAGTTTGTGAAGTTTCTTTTTGTGTGGCTATTATTGGGCTTTGTAACTGATTAAATTTATTTATTTATGATTTGAAAAATTTTACTTTATTTTAACATTTCAAATTCTTTTGAAATTTTTGAAAATGTTTTTAATTCTTTTGAAATTTTTGAAAATGTTTCAAATTTTTTTAAAAATTTCTTAAGTTTTTAAATTTTGAAAATTTGATGTTTTTAAAATTTTTGACATTTTCAAAGATTTTGAAACTGTCGAAAATTTTTCTTTAATTTTCAATTTTTTGTAATATTTGAAATTATTTTAAATTTTTGGACTTTGTTAAGTTTTTGAAATATTTGAAATTATTTTAAACTTATGAAATTTTTTGAAATTTTTGAAATTTTTAAACTTTTGGAATTTTATTACTACAGCGCCAAAAAATTAAACCATAAAAGTTCCAATTCTCTTCCACAATGACTAACCAAAAAAAAAACATGAAGCTTTAATCCATTGTGAATGTCAAAAGACTTATAATTTAGCATCATAATGATGACAATATGGTTGAAAAATTCGGTCTGCTTTTCACTCTCCCTTTTATGTTCTCATTTTAATCACTGTCGACATAACATTCATCAATTTCATTTTTATGAATAATAATCATTAAAAAATAAAATAAACAGCCGAAAAGTATAGAAAATGAGTGAATGAAAGGAGAAGGAAATCTGAAAAACTTAAATTTTCGCTTATCAATCAATATCAATCTTGTCTCGTTTCTGTTTGTATATTTGAATGTTATTTCATTCTTTAACAGACTTAATGTTTTCAACTTAAACAATACAAAAAACTTTTTTTTATTAATTTTTTCTTGCTTTCTGCATGAATTCCTTTTTATGTCAATATTATTCAATATCAAAGCAGAAAATAGAAGCTGCAATTAAATTAAGGCTCTTCATTTTCAATTTGCTCCCTTTTTTAAGTAGCTCTTTATTCAATGAGTTTCCATTGAGTCTAATGAGGCTCGGTATTTTCTCATATTATTGTCACTAATTAAAGATACTCAAGATGGGTTGTTGGGATGCTTAACAGAGTTTCCTTAGATATTCAATACTTAAGAGTAGAAATAAATACAAGCAATTGACCTGAATAGTGCCTAATGAAGAATTTATATCACAAAGTTTTATTACTAAGATAATTTTGATCTTTAGGAGGGATCAATGATTTATTTCATCGTAATATTTAGAGTAGACACAAATCTCAGCTCAAAGAAGCACCTCAAATGTTTAATTAATTTATTGATAATTTATAGTATCAAATGAAAAAGAATAGACTTGTTTAGAACTATGTTGTGCCAAGAGACGATGTGAACGTTGATTCGAAATTGATTCAAACGTATTTTCGGATTAAAAATCCGCCATTTTGAAAACATCAAAACAATGAAAAATTAAGAAATATTAACAATTTTTGACTTAATTTTCTATTTAGATGCTAAATAAATGTTTAATTGATTCTTTTAAAGCCAATAGAATCATTTAATCAGTATTAAATGATGCAAAAAATAGTTTGAAATGATTTTTTTCGTAATTTAGTTCAATGTTTTGTCATTGTTTTTGTTGATTGTTTACAAACATCATGTGAAAATTATCGAAAGTAAAAGTATCAAAAAAGCACTCTTTTTGATCGATTATCCATTTTCAAACGAATTATTACAATTAAGTAGCTTCGTTTTAACATTTTCATGTATAAAGAGAAAAAGTTTGACTTTAAATTAAAAAGATTTTACATTAAAAATTAACGGCTTTCGAAAATTTAAATTCATGTTCGAAAATAAGGACCGGAATTCCGAAAATAAGGACTCGTTGGCGTGCCATAAGGTTTAGAATTTATTAACTTCAGTCCTTGTTTGTCTATCTTAGAGTATATTTTAAAATCAAAATTTGTCAATAACTTTCTGTTATTTTTGCTAGTAAAGGAGCATTGGTGATGCTTTATTATTCATCAAAGTAACTGGCTCTGCCTTAATAGTGATTCATTTGTTGATATTTAAATGAAAATTGAATTTCACTTTGTATGAGTTCATCTATAAATCTTGAAAACTTGTAAAGTTGTTTTGAAACAAATTAAGCAGAAAGAGTTAAATCCAATAAACCAGATTTAGAATCTAATATGTAATCTTATTGATTTGATTACTTTGTTGCCAAGCAGATTCATTTTATTTATATTGCCTCTCTTAAAATAACATCAACAAATCTTCAAGTGCACTAGAAACTTTTTACAATTATTATTAATCAGACTTATGCAGGGGCGTAGCCAAGGGGGGGCCATAGGGGGCCCGGGCCCTCCCTACGAAAATCTGATAATTGTTTTATTAAGCATTTATAGAGAAAAAGCAGTTAATGTAGAGGAAGTGATGAAAGAAATGTCAAAATCAGCACGAAAAATTAAATTTAATGTATGAATAATGAATTAAATATTTAAACTTATGAAGAATGAATATAAATTTAAGGATACAAAATAACGTTTTTTTTAATTTTCGAATATGGGCCCCCCCCTTAAAAATTTTCTGGCTACGCCCCTGGACTTATGGAATAGAAAATAAAGTAAGCACTAAAAGCTCTCATGTGAATCATGTTAAAAACCAACAAATATAAACTTCTAAACTACTTTTTGAAGTGGGAATAAAGATAAGATTTATCCAAACATCAACTCCAGAAAGCATCTCCCAAATCTCAGTTCCAGTTGATAAAGATTTATCTTTGAATTTCTCCTGTTTACAGCAACCTTTGTCAAAAACTAATGTTAAAACTTAGTCGATAAGTATACCAAAAATCTACAAGTCACAAAAACTGTCCTTCCTCAGAATATCTAACAAATCTTTTTTTACCAGCAACATTAAAGCTCGACAAATTACCAGTGCTGAATTTAATAGAGGAAATTACCATAAAAAGTTTTGAACTAATTTGTCGCATGAATATTTTTTTTTTGTCATTTAAATATTTGTGGCATTTTGTGGAAAATAGTTCAAAGAATTGATAAAGTTGAGTTGGCGTGGAATTATTTTTTATCATAATTTGTAGTCGTTAACTAGCAGCTACCACACTATAAAATATAACTTCATTTGTTGAAGGATATTCGACATTAATTTTAATTGTTTGTTGGTTTTTTGAAGAGAATCGCACGATTTTATGGGCAACGCAAATGACAACTGCAATTAATTCTCAATAAAAAAAAGGTTCTATTAAGGTCGTTCAGCACGTTGATAGAAATTGACACAAAACTCTTTGTTGTTGATACAGAAAAGTTCATTGCCATTTAAAATTGAATATTTTGACGTCGATTTAAGGATTAATGAATTTTTTTGTGTATCGATTAAGTCAGATGGATTGTTAATTAACTTAAAGCCTCACAGTCTATAAGACCTTCGTCATGAAATTTGTACATGCCGCAATTCTTTCATCACTGAAGTACCCAAAAAGAGGTTGTATACCACTCAATCAATCCCCCACTCTTACAGGCTACGCATCTTAATTCTTAAAAATTGTATCTAAGGAATTTGGCAATGAAAAATTCCACTCAGTCCAATTTTCAAGGACTCAATCCTTTCCGTCAAGTTTTAAATTTCAAGATCCTAATTTTGTGTTTTCTAAGATTTATTTTTAACTGATGGTCACTTTATGCAGCCGCAATGTTGAATAAATAAACAGCAATCATGATGATTTACGCAATCCATGTTGTTAATGTCATTAAGTTAAATTTGACACAATTGAAACCACAGATTATGATTTAATGCTCAACAATTAATAACCAGTAATTAATATAATTGTCAAAATAGATTTATTTGCTGTTACAATTCACAATTTAATTATAATTATTACATTGAAGTAAATTTGAAATTTAATACACAAGTTATTGTTCCTAAAGGAAATCATCGTACCATGCAGCAAACATACTCTTTGATTTCTTGAAAATTAATTTTGATTTTTTTTTATTACTGTTTACGACATCAAGCAGAGATTTAATGACACAAACATCAAAGATTTATTTTTCTTTTTATCTCAAGTGCAGGCTTCAGCTAGGAATAAAAATTGGAAATGTGCCAAAAATCTCACAACCTTTAACAAAGTTAAGATAATTATAAAATATTGAGTGTAGGCTGATTTGAATTGTATTTCAAGTTTAAATGATTCTTATAGCGTTAAGTGATTTTAGAACATATTTTGTAGGAAGTCTGAACGCCTGCTTGTTATGAAATTACAAATGAAAACATTATGCATGGATACAGGTTAGATTGCACACTAATATGCCAGGTCACAATAAGATAAGCTTTAGTGGGTTTTTATATAGAATTTGTTTATTTTGCTGCACATCCTTAAACTTCCTTAATCTTCCTTAATCTCCCACACACTAGAATTATAATGTGATTTTATGTGATTTATGAATGGTTTTACAGCACACCAAAAAGTTTCTTACACTTAGCTTGAACACCTTTAATTTTAACATAAGGCTGTTCATAAATGACGTCGATAAATGAAAAATTAGATTTTAATGCCTACACACTTCCGCTGCTTGTCACGTAATTTTTGTAAAAAAAAGTGTTTTTTCACTTTGAACCATCACATAAATCCAGAACTCCCGTCTCTTCCCTTGTTAAATGTTGTACGTCATTTATGATTGGCACTCGCAATTGTAACTCTTTAAATTTGATTTCAAAAAATTGACCAATTGGAAAGAAAATGAAAAAATATCTGATCACCTTAGAGGTCATTAGCTTATGACGTTTGATAAATCACATGATTTTTAGAACCCCTCTCCTTCCCCATCCCCTCTCCTGTCTCAAAATTTATATGGAAAAAAATTCCCTTTGTCTGAGCTGTCACAAAATCCGACACACACCTCTAAATTTCGAACTTCATAAGCAGAGCACGAAATTGATGAAATTTTGTATGGAGTCGAGTCGACTTCGAGTTCTGGTCATAAATGAATGAACCCCTCCCTCTGCCTCATCACTTGGGTGAGGATTTATAAAAAACACAACAGTTGTCCGATTTTTCAAACTTTTTCATTTCCATAAAAGAAAATAAAAATATAATAGGAACATAACTAAGATCCAATATGAATAAATTTCAGAAAAAATATACCATTGAACTATAAATCTTGTTCTACCCTCGATACAGAACCAAAAATACATTCCCTGCAAAAAAAAAGGTATGAAGGTGGATAAAATTTGATATTAAGAATCTCTACATAAAAGGTTTAGATAACATTTGTATTTTTAGACATTAGAGAATAAATTTTCTCTGTCACATGTGTGAACGTTTCATAAAAAAACTTACATTAGTTGCATAAGCTCTTTCATTAGCATAAGTCCATGAATACATAAATGACATAAATGACCTAAAGAACTTGGAATATAAAGCTTGTGAACAGGGAAATGATGAATTTCATTTAAAGCTTAAATTTATTATTCAAAGTAACTTTTTTGTTGTTTAAATTTCCATCAGAATGTCAGGGAGGGAAAAAATATATTTTGCTTTTAAAACAAAACAGGCACTGCCTTCAAAAGAGAGCTATTTTATAATTATAAAAGAGGATCAGACAGCTGTTAAAATCTCATTATTTTTAAAACGTTTTCTCGTTTATTTTTTTTATTGTTACATAATAGACATGACAATAAGCAGCATCGAGGAATGAGTTTTGTTTTTGTTATGATTTGAATTGGTTGCTTTACTTACGTGGAATTGGTTGTTATTCTAAAGATTAAAAATTCTGAATTTTTTGAACACTTAAAAGAATTTAAAAATTTTCTATGACTTTAAAAAATTTGAAAAATTTTGATTGAAACATTTTAAAATTTTGTTGAGAAAATTTAAATTTTTGGGATTTTTATAACTCATTTTTAACAAATTTAAGTTTTTTTGAACTTTTTGCAAAACATTTTAAACAATTTTAATTTCTTCCAAATTTTTTGAAAAACCTTTTTCAACAATTTTAAGTTTTTTGAATGTTTTAGAAATCATTTTCGAGAAATTTAAGTTTTTTGAATATTTTAAAAATCATTTTCAATAATTTTAACTTTAAGAACTTTTAAAAATAATTTTCATCGATGTTAAGATTTTTTGATTTTTTTAAAATCATTTTTGACAGTTTTTGTCAAAGTTGTCAAAACTTTAAAAAAAATTTATCAAATTTAAACAAATTTTTGAAATTTTAAAAAATAAACTTTTTATGAGTTCTAAAACCGAATCAAAACTTTTAAAATTCAAAGATTTCTATCAAAAAAATAAAGCTTTAAAAAATTGAAAAATTAAACAAATTAATTTGAAGTTCAAGAGCATTAAGCAATTCCCCCGACGCCTTACTAATGTATAGCTTGGGATATATAATTTATTCACATAACAATAATGTGAAACACAAGCTCCAATTCTTCCGAGAATTTTATAATGAGTGACTTTTCATTCAAAAACAAATTAAATTATTTACTTTTTTGTCGATCATTTTCTCTCATATCAAAAAGAAAATAAATTCATTGGCACAAAGGAAACACAAGAATAGGAAATAAAAAGAAGAAATTCGCGACTCTCGCGTATCATTTATTGACAACTTTAATGTCGCCAAAAGCATAAAAAGTTTTAAAGAAAGTAAATTATTGATTGAAAAACTTTCTCTGCTAGACATTAAATGTTTGTGTACTGGATGCACTTACACAGCACGAATTTAAAAATGAATAAATTTATGGGAAAAAGTCGAGAAATTAAACAATTTTGTGTGCAACAATCACAAAGTCACTTTGAGGAACATAAATTTTATGTTTTTAGAAAAATTCACATTTAGCGCATTTTGTTTGATTTGAAAGCTTTATGGCTTTGTAATTCTTTACTGTCCGTGTTGAATTTTCACAAAGGAAACTATAAAATCTGCTTCAGACATGTTAAATATGTCCTTTATACAGTTTCAAATTGCCACAATCTGTCCAAATAAATTACAAAGTTTTTAGATTTAATTTTCATTGTGAATTAAATTTAAAACTCATAAAAAAATTTCCAACTTTTTTGAAAAATTCATTAGACTTCCAAATATTAATATTAGAATTTTAAATGCTCGAAAAAAAATCGAGGTAATTTAAAAAAATGAACATTTTTATGGTTCCAACTTTTTCTAATTTATAATAAATTTAAAGGAAATTGCAAATGAGATCCTTTATAAACATCCAGCAGCTTTAAAATGAAAGAAAAAAAATTATTGACGGGCTGCTAAATTCTCTTGAATCAGAAAAGCCGCTAGACGTTTAAAGCTATAAAGAATTTTTCAAGATAATCAGCTCAATTCGGTAAGGTAAAAACCTTCCTCACTGACAAAGAAAATGCGTTAAGACCACCCTCAAATGTATATTCAATTTTCCTTCATCCTTTCATTCACCAAAAAAAATATATTTTTCGCTCGTATATCCTTCAAAGTCTGAAGTTCAACAATTTCATTTTTTTATTTTATTTTTTTTCATGTTTACTGCTATCTCTGTACCTCTCCTACTCACTACATTCTGTCTCGCTGTATATATATGTATTTATGTATGGTACATTATTGGGTTTTAAACCTTTAAAACCTTCCTGCTTGCTTCCAATGATCACCACATCTTCTTATGAAATGGATGAACATACTATATATTACCTCATTTGAACAAATTTAAAGATATTGGTGTTTTGACAAAGTCACCCTTTCAACGTAGAAAGAATAGAAGTTTGTTGAAAAAGCAAGTTAAATTTACAGATGATTTGAAATGCACTCCGGATATACTGACAACGATAGTCAACGATAATAAGGATGAGTGTGAGAAAATCTCATTGCATTGTAATTATAATCATGACGATGAAGACGATTTTGATGACGATCGTCTTGTGACGATGCATGATGATAAAGGTAATTGAACTGGATGGATGTGAAGCATTGAGTTGTGGATGGAGTGCATTTTTGGAGGTTAAATTTATGTTTTTTAAGGAATCAAATTTTAAATTAAATTGTTTTTAAATTTTGAAATCAAATCTTTAAATTTAAAGGATTTTATTTTTTAAAAATCCAACTATTTTTTAAGTTTAAAAAAATATATTAGCATTCTAGAGAAGTTCAAACTTTATTTGAACAAACGGTCGGATTTTTGTGTTCAGAAATCCAAAAGTTATCTTATTTAACTGTTAAACTTTAAAATTTGAATTTCTAAACACACGCTATTCTGGGATTGAATGATTTCAAAATTTTAACGTTAAAATTTTACAAATTGACAATTTTTAACAACAGATTCAGAATTGAACATTTAAATCATCTTCAGTAGATCATCAAAAATTTATCCCACTAACCAAAATGCACTCAACTCCACAGCATACCTGTAATAAATTGCTATGAAACCAGACAGAAAAGGAATTTTCTTTGTTCTAATGTCAATTATTTTTACATTCTCCCAACAGACAAAATGAAAGCACAGCTCGAGGAAAGAATTTAAGCAGAAATCCCTAAAGACGATTTTAATACCCTTTTGAAGATTATCATCAGCATCGGAAGTTCATGGAGAAAAAAAGTTCCCGAAGAACAATGTGCAATTTATATAATCATTTGAATTTAACAAAGTTTAAAAAAAGTATTTTTCATTCAAAAATTCACAAAGAGCAATCAACTTGCAGACACATTGAAAACTTTAAGCAGCAATTATTTGATGACCAAAAGAATTAAAAAAATGTGCAAAAATATTTATATTCATATGGTTTGGAACCTCAAAATTAATAACGTAATTAGAGTTATTTGGAAAGGATGGAATGAAAAAAAAATTTAATTTATCTCCACTCCAGTGATAAATTACGACTTTTCTGGGGATAAATTATGAAGTGAGAAAAGTTGGAAACAGAAATAAAATATTAATTGCAATTATAAAGTGTAAGGGTGGGTGTTGTGAGAAATTACTAATGAAGTGCATAAGTTGCTGACAAATCAGCTTGTTCAAGTACATAAATTCACAACAACATCCCAACTCCCTTCAAAAACCAACTCACACAAAGGAAATAAAATAAAAAACTTAATTTTAAGTGTTAAAAAGAAGAATTTTGTGAGAAAAAAAAAACTCAGACATTTTTTATGTCTCGCTCTCTTGTTCGAAACTTATCGATTTTAATAGTGATGTTGTTTTGGTAGAAAATTTTTAATTTACTAGAGTTGAAGTTGCAGAACTTTTTTTGTTATTTATTCTCTTAATGACAAACTGAAAAGTTTCATGAATACTTAATAATTTCATTCAGACTTGAACAAAATGTTGGAAATATGATGAAAGACAAGAATGGAAACAGAATAACGTAAGAAGAATTGAGTTTCGGCATTTATTTGATTCGTCTGAATCACTTTTAAACGAGCTATAAATACAAAGTTTATGAATTTAAGGTGTAAATTCTTACACAAACATTTTTGGTCGATTTAATAAGAATATTAACATCTATTTTTGAGAATAATAATTGCTTAACTCTTTAGCATAGTGATATGATAAGTTTATGGTTGACAAAATATTAATTGAGACGTCCGACGTCTCAGACGAAAAGCAAACAATTTGACATGACAAAAAAGGATAACCAGACATAATATTTGGGTAATCAATACATTTTTGAAACACGATATTCCTCAAAAATTGCTTATTATTTATTAACGAGAATTTCATGTGATATGCACCTGACCTAATCTAGAGGTTATTGGTTATTTAATCACTTTACGCCTAAAGCTTCTATCTTTTTGTAGTCAAATGCGTAATATGGATCGATTTTACCTGAGTCGTTCAAGATATTGTATCATAAGATCCAGCCTTAATTCCTTAATTAATCTGAAAACTTAATATTTATGTTGATAAATAAAACAAATAAATTTTTAAACCCAATTCTCTTCTATGTCTTGAAATTCTTTAAATTTCTTCATCAAACTTACTTATAAACATGACTTTTAAGAGAATTAAAATATTTTTAAATACAAAAGTAAATTTTTGAAAACTTTTAAGATTTCAATTAAAAAGTTTATCATTGCCAGCTTGCATTGCAATATTTGTAACTGCATCTAATTTTTAATCAGAAAGAAAACGAGACTTCATGTTAGAATTCATAATTCTTGAAGATGGTTTACGTGACAATTACTGTTGTAGAATCTCGAAAAGCTTAAAGATTGCTGGAACTTTCTAAAAAATTGTGGTTTGATATGAAATTTAAAAATTTGAAGCAACAAATAAGAAAATTCAAAGAAATTGGATTCAGATTTCCGAAAAACTCCTAAAATATCTACTGAATATTCAAGCTTTATTATAATTTTCATCAAAATTCAAAAAAAAAATTACAAAACCTAAATAAATTCAGCATTCAATCGCTAGTTGATTCGCTCAATTTAAATGAATTCATTCCATTTCCCACAAGACTAACCAGTTTTAATCCAATTTTCACAGAATAGTCAATCATAAAGCCACATTCAAAACAACTGACTCGAAACTTTTCAGAATTGGCTCTTTGACAACATAAATTGCCATAACATTCAGTTCTACTTTTCAATTATCAAACTCTTGTTATTTCCTCGAATTATTTTGAACTTTTTTTTCTCTCTTAAATGCTTAGGTCAAAGCAACAAAAAAATAAAGATGTAAATAGAATCTTCTTAAGAATCCTTTTAGCTATGAAAAAATGTCAAGAAAGGATAAAACTTTTTAAGAATGTTTAAGCTAAGTGAACATAAATTTTTCGTTGAATTTTGAGAAAGTTAAAGAATTTTCTTTTTATTGAAAAAAAATCTGAAAGAAAAATGTGAACTTTAGAATTTTCTTCTTCCTTAATTTTCTCGTTAAACAAATGTTTAAGAATAATGTACGAAAAAGTAATTATAATGTAAGCCAATTCAGCTTAATTACCGTCATTTAAATGTGTTATGTGACTTTTATTAATGATATAAATATATGAGGAGAAAATTCACTGGATTGGATTATTGTGATGATGATTTTGGATTTATTTGAGATCCTGTCAAGTCTGAGATATTGAGAATCTTAAGAATAAACTTCTTTATTTGCTCTAAAAGTGAGCTGAAGTGGCTCGGTGGCGGAATGGTTTAGTACTTCGGTACCTAATTATTGCAATACCGACACAGCGATCATGGGTTCGAGACTGGGTATGGGAAATTTTTCACTTGTTCTTTTTCGAATCATATGTACTGGAAATGAGGCTCACAGCCTTCCTTTGTAGGCTACAGACAGAAATGTCATCAAAGGAGTGGTTCGGATCCCACTATAAATTGTAGGTCTAGGTTTGAGTGCAGTGGTTTGGCGCATCCTCACTCGTTAAACTCTCATTAGCTGCGAATCGCCCTAGCGCACCTCTGGATCACAATTGATCTGAATGGGTAAAGGTTTTTTTTTTTTTTTTTTTTTTTTTTTATTTGCTCTAAAACCATTCGAACGCAATTAATGTCATAATTAGTAATAGGATTTGTTGTCTATTGAACTTCCTGATCAGAAAAATGTCAAAAAGGAAACAAAATTTGATCAACTTCTTGACAAAAGAAAGGATTCTTCTGTACCAAAGATTCCAATGAAGATAGCATCATAACATCATCATTAAATAATCCATTCCAGTGAAACCAACTCACGCACACAAAAGAAAAAAAAATCGCAAATTGATTGAATATTTTATTTACGTTAAATGAATTATCAATATCCACATTATGTGCTATAATAATCAGTATAATACTTATTGCATTCAATTAACTTCATTTTTAACCATCTGTGATAAAAAATTACATGGAGAATTAACTATCCATTCCAAATGAATACATCCACACACATACATTAAATACAGAACACAAATAAACGCATGAAGACATTTTTAAGAATATTTTTATACGACTCATAAGACATAAAAGAATAAGAAGAATGATATTGATAGCACACAAAAAATAAAATCTTTTCAAGTTCCGAAAAGAATAAAAATAAAACTTTTTTTCTCTTAACTCTTGTAAAACAAAAGAAAAAAAATTGAAAGAAAAACTTTTTAAATAAAGTAATTAGATCTTTGAAAAAAATGCCATAAGGGACTTTTTATTTTCTCTAGGACTTATTCCTTCAATAACAATTACTTCTATTTCCACATCAAAAAAAATATTGTTTTGTAGAACTTTACGAGATCTTTTTTCAGGAAAATTCATTTTCAGAAGACAACGAAATAAAATGATGATGTATAGTTGGTATTGCTTGAGGATTAAAACAAACATGTTGGTAATTCAATAAAGCTTTTTTAGTTGTTTGTGAAATTCCACTTTAGAAATTTAGCAAGTCAAAGAGGAAGGAATCACATTGATAATGCTGAGTTAATAGATATTTGCGACTTCTACTTCTTCAAGCAACACTAGGTTTCGCTTTGGATTGGAAAAAGGAAATTAGACTGAAATATTCAAATGATAACAAAAAACCAAGGAACTTACAAATCATGTTTTGAAAGTTTCTGATCATTTTTGATCAGTTCTACAGTCTTAGCAAAGAACCTAACCTTCAAAGAATGAGAAGCGACGCAAATTGGCAAACAACTCAATAAGTCTGTGACTTTCACTAGCAATCGCATTAGATTCGCATTAGATGAACTGCTTTTTCGGGCTTCAACCAGGAGAGTAGCAAGGATTTTTCAAGGGGGGTGTCCAAAATTTTTTTACTGTCAAAACCTGGTCAAAAATCAATGAAATTTCTTTATTTCATTATTAAAAGCTAATTTTATTGATCCCAAGGACCCCCCCTGGATTCAACTAGTTCAATAGTCAGTAGAATAGAAAATTCATCTGAAAATAATTTTTTACATAAGTTCACGTCAGACGAACTTTATTTCTTCCTTTTGTTATGCTTTATATTTACTTAATATGATCGATCAGGTAGAATAGATTAATGACTCAATACTTTTATAATTAATCTCAAAAGCTTTCGTTCATTTACAGAAGATTGAGTGTCGATACGTTTTAATGATTTTTCAAGGACAGGATGAATTGCCGCAAAGATTAGGCTGTGGGTGAATAATTCAAGATGATTTCAAGACTACTTTGTAGATGAGGAATTAGTCTGTGGTGATTTTACCCTTGTCGAATGAGTAAAAGATGATAAAATTTCGAACAAATGTAAAAGAGCAGTGGACAACAATGTGTCTGAGTTTTGTTTCATTTATTTTTGTGGAAACCTTACAAATTGATATAATACAAAATAATCTCAATACTTTGTGCTGAAATTCAATCAAAAATGAAAAATAATTCAAAATGTAAATCAATAATATGCTCATATGAATTTTAACACGACTTCAATTTATTATGATTTTAAAGATTGTTCTTTAAAGTATTGAAAACTTATTTTGTACAGCTTGAAACTGTTCAATTGCGGCGTTAATCAAAAATTTTAAATTACAATTCCTAATGTCACAAAACTTAAGGTTCGAATCTCCTTGGATCTCTAGGTGAAGAACCTTCTCATAGACGCCTGTTTTCGTGGATTGAATTACAATTTCATGACGTAAAGCAGATTGCTTTAAAAATTCATAAAACAACTTTAAAAATTATCGATTATATTTTGGTTCTTACTCGCTCATCGTGAAATTATTCGAAACAACTACATTAAAGTAAAGCCACAGATTATTTTCAGTTTTGAGCTGTTCAACTCTGATTATGTTTTCCAGGTAATACAATAGCAAAAAAAAAGACTGAAAACATAAAATATGTGAAAATCATCTAGAATTTTCCATTCTAAAATTTTAAATTCATTCTGCCTTTTACCAGAATTTTTGCTTGTTTTGTTTCAATTGAACTAAACCTTCAAAACAATATTGAAATGCAAATAATAGCATGACCACATAGGGACACCATAAACTACCATAATTAAATTACAAACCCACACTTACTGTCTTTAAATGTCAGCCAAGTTAGTGATAATGAGCACTGCATTTTAAATTCCTTACACAATAAATTAAGTAGTAAACAATGTATGTGACAATAGTTCAGTTAAAGTTGATGAGTTTCATTCGAATATGAAATCAAATTGATTCATACTATTCATCTGAATAGACCAACTAATAATCCAGGATTAACTTTGT